GTTTGATGATTGTCTTTGATGGTTATTCAGGAGAGTTTCCAGCGATTTCCTATTGAACTCTCTTACATGCCGGAGGTGATTAAACGATTATCTCTTGCTCATCAAATAGACAAGATTACTCGGAAGAATTCCCAGGTAATTGTAATTTCCTTTCCTTGGTGCAATTGCTTATACAGACCTTACAGTTTGGAATGCTGCCTTTTCCTTTTTTGGTTGGAACTGTGGGGTTTTCTATAAGGCCAGGGGTTTAGTTCACGTTCTCTGCCAATATTACATTATTTTTCCCTCTTTTGAACTACATGCTACGATACCTCTGCTGGTACTTTAGTACATCAAGGTGCATGGTTTATCCTTAATAGCCTCCATTTTCAAAATACGTACTTGGCTTGTGGTTTAAGTCATTATACAGAGAAGGGAGATGCTAATCTTCTAGAAAAATATTTTATCATTATGATCTGCTTAGCTTGGCATCAGGCTATTGAGATGCTGCATAGTTTCATTGTTCAGATCTTTGTCCCAGGAAAAGGCCGAGAAAAGTTGGTTGGAGCGCAATGCTGAATCAGTTGATTTGGTTTTGGATGATGATGATAGTGAAGAAGAGAGAGTGAAGAAACACAGGCTAAAGAAAGCCACGTCAAGTCAGTTAAATAAGTTGCAGCAGGTCTCCCCTCACCAATGATAATTTGCTAGTTTGATTGATTTTGTCTTTCAAATTACTTTTTCTAAAATCAGACAGCGTGAAATATCTTTTTCCGAAGTTAACATTATTCTAAGCTCTGTCCCTTATTTGTTAAATTACAGGAGCTCAATACACTGCTTTCACGGCCATTGCAACCAAAAACATTTTCGAAGCGCTACTTGGCTGGGGTAAGTGCATGCATACGCTCAACACACTGGTATATACGCATGAAAGTGCAGAAGTTTCATTTTTGTATTAAAACTAAAGTATAACAGGGGTTCCCGTTCTTTTTTTGTTCTGACAAACTTGTCATTTAGTTAGTTGTTTGACTTATTATTTTCAATATCATACGTGTTATGTATTCCAAAGTAGATTTTATTACTGGTTACCATCACAATTGATTGAAACTGGTCAAAATTGTTAGGAATACGACCATGTTCTCTAGGTAGAAAGTTAAATCAGTAAAAGATCATTTTAGTCGAGGAATTAGTTTGTACGAAATTGACCAACTGATTCACTATTGTACCTGGTTTAGTAACTACATTTTCAGCATGTTTGGCTAGCTAAAAGAAAGTTAACTTATTTTTATGGCTGTAAATCTGAAAAGATGAACTTACTTTTCTTGACAGTACTGTCAAAAAATAAAAATAAAAATTATTCTGGAAATCCAAAAAATGGAAATTTTCAGAAAACCTAAAACAAGCTTGGCAAAAAAAGGTTACTTCAAAAAGAACTTTTAAGCTTAGCCAACATGCTCTTATGTCTAGTTATAATTGATAGCATGGGAAGGTTTTACAAAGATAAAAAATATTTAAATCACGATCTATTTAAGAGGCCTTTGATCATACTCTACGTTGGTTTCATCATTCTTTTTTATTGCACATACCCTATGCTAGTCTTTATATCAAACTTTTGATTAAGGTGATACCATACGAGCAAAGAAAACATAGCGCACACTATTTTCTTCTACTTCAAATCCTTATGCTTGAGATATGTGATGCTTTAAATTTTTTATTTGGATCTTTCCCAGGCCGGTGTCTCACCTCTTCTTCAACATCAATTTGAAGAACTAGCCAAGCAGAAACTTGGTGAAGTAAGTAGTTTTGGCGAAAACAAAAGGAGGAAGTTGTTAGTTATTGGTCAGGATTGTGTAGAACCACTTCAGGCACTGAGGGGTGCAAATAAGGAGGTATTGCAATAGAAATCTGCCCCCATTTTCTTTTATTGTTTTATATTATCGACGTTTTGGTGAAATTATCTGGAAGTCCTAAACTTGAATTTATCAACTTACTGTTTTTACCTTGCGTTTGTACCTCGGATTTTATCAAATTCCCATTTTCTCATTATAAAAAAAAAAAAAAATGTGTTGCCGTGTTCCTCGACTTAAATTTTGGTCTGTGTCAAATATTCTCAGCCATGCTTGGATCTGAAAGAGATTGCTGAAAAGCGAAAGAATATGGATGACTTGAGAAGAAAGAGGAAAGAGATGAAAAAACGTACTCATTTATCCTTCCTGGACGCCAATATCATTCTCATTGATGCCGTATATATCTTCAATATTTCTTTTTCTTGAAGCTAACTCTGTAACATTTTCATTTTACTTCTCCAGGTTTACACGAACAACGGCGAAAGCAGAGGAAAAAGATGAAAGCAGGAAATCAGTAGAGGGAGTGGCGCACAATCCTTCGGATTAGTAAAAGAAAATTCTAAGAAACGACAACTGCGTGGTACAGATTATCTATGTCAGTTGGTGACGACATAGTTGTAAGTTCTATTTGCTATTTACATTAGTTGGTACGATGAACAAGACATTACTGAACGATATTTAAGGAAGAAAAGAAAGCTAAAATTGTCAATCGTACCGTCTAGACCTTCCAACCACTGCATATCTAACGTACTCCAATGTATTGTCTGGTTCTCATTTTTCGAAATCCCTAAGAGCCTAAAACTGACAATCATTTTACTTGTACAATTTATTTTACAACTTGGTTTACAATGCATGAGTTGACAAACATCAAATTCATTTATTCGAAAAACTGTTTTTAAAATCAGTGGACGGGATTTTTTCTACACACTTGTTGTCAATCAAGTTGTGCATAAATATTGTACAAGTGGCTTTATTACTTGGAGCAGTCTTTTTTCCTTCTTTTCTCCAGGAACTGCCTGATTAGTTATAATATTTATGTTCAAGTACTGGATTCCCATAAAATTATTTTTGTGAGACATACTTTAATGAACTCTTTGTTTCAACAATTAGCTCTTCTATTTTTTCAAAGTTGAATTGCCTAAATTCTGATATTTATAGACAGAGCATGTTTAGCTAGTTCGACAGAAATCCACGCAAAGGTCCCGCAGCCTATAAAGAATTTCCCACCTATCTCGTTTAATCTGGTTTATGAATTTTGATCCACACAATTTATCGGTTCCAAACTTATATGGTAGCAACTTTTATTTTTTGGCCAGACATGCTTGTTTACTCTTTCGTTTCTTCTGCATTCTGATTGGTTGCTCGACGTTGATTGAGAATGAAGAGTTACACTTTTGCCTCCACCTTGCCTGGGCCACCCAACTCCGGTCTAGCACAGTGACTCATCCACCTACTTCACGAGCACCTCCCTCGAGCACTTTTATTTTGATCTTTATTTTTGGGTCAAAATTTCCTTTCGAACGAAAGGAAAAGAGCAAATGAAAATTCGACAATATGTTCAACGCACTTAAAAAAAAAAAAAAAAAAAAAAAAAGGGAAAAAAAAAAAAAAAAGGGAAAATTTTATTTTTTGGGGGTTTTTTTTTTTTTTTTTTTTTTTTTTTTTTTTTTTTTTTTCCTTTAACCAGAACGAACGTCGAAAAACCAAACTGAAGATTATCCAAAAATGTCATCACTGAAATGGGGCTAAAGTGGATGATATTATTTCTCTGTTTGTTTTATTGAGGTCCATTTATGGAAGGGAAAAAATAGGAAAAGAAATTCCACAATTATGAAAGGAAAATAGATTAATCATTATTTACTTAGGGTCTGTTTGATTGTAATGATGGAATTTGATTGAAAAGAAAACGAATTCCAAAAAATTGTAATCTAGAACTTGTTTTCTTGAGAATTGTCAATTAAATGTCTTTAATTGATATAATTTTTCACTGAAATTTTGAACTTTTTGACGTTCGTTTGGTCTTATTTTTCATGAAAATTTTCAATTTAAGGGATAAATTTTTTTTGTGATAGATTTTGTTTCCATTGTTGAAAATAAAATAAAAAGAAGAAGAAAATGAAGTTGGAAATCATTTTCTCACCAAAATTAAAGGAATTGATTTTCCTTAAAAAGCTAGAAAAGAGGATCACATGGGGTGGGAAATGAAAAACCAATTCCATGGAATTTATTTGCAATCAAACACCCAATTTTGGATGAAAATCCGTGGAAAAAAAAAGGTTATCAAACATGGCTGAGTCTAGGGATGTAAACGAGCCGAGCCGAGTCGGCTCGCGAGCCGAAATCTTGGGCTCGGGCTCGGCTCGAGTAAATCACAACGGGCTTTTTTTGGGCCCGGGCCGAGCCGAGCCAAAGCTCGCCCAAAAAAAGAAGGCTCGGCCCGAGCTTTTGGCTCGGGCTTTTTATTTTTGACATCCCTAGCCGAGTCCATTTGTTAAGCATGGGGGAACACTATCATGGTGGTTGTAGCTGCTGTGCTGATGTCAAGTGTGACCCTGTACAAATCATGTACATCTCCTCGGTACACGTAGCAAAGCTTCATCATTGTTAAGCAAAATTCTATGAAAATTGACAATACAAAAGACACATTTTTTATTTATTTCTATTTTATGTTGGTCGAAGAGATAGTCTTTCTTCTCGACCATGTACATCTCTCCTTTAAAGGTAGCAAGCTCCATAATCATTAAACAAAATTCTATGGAACTTGACAATATAAAAGACACATGTTTTATTTATTTCTTTTTTATGTGGATCAAGTAGATCGTCTTTCTTCTCAAGTAGTATAGATAAATTATAATGATTCACATCAACTTATTACATGACCTACAAGACATATCGAATTTATAACTTTGCATCGACTTTTGGACTGGTAACATAGTAATTCATCCCATCATTTTTTGGTCGAGATTGATGACTATGTTATTCCAAAATCAAAGACGATAAAATTAAGTAAATAAATAACTAGAACCACTAGATGATAAACACTTTTAGCCCTACATTAACATGCCAAACGTGACAAAAAATTCCATCCAAAACATAACATCAAAACAAAACCCAACCAATCATAACCACAATTTTTTTCTTTAAAAAAAAATAAATTTAAAGAACACAAAAAGCTCAATTGATAACTACCCATGAAGCTGAAATACAATTTGATGAGCTTATAAATCCGTGTCTGCAGAAAAAGAGCGCTCCTCAAATGGAAGTGTTTCTTGTAGGGTCCGTAGCTTCTCGTAGTAATCACACTATTTTCTCCCGCGAGGTACTCTCCTTTTTGCCTGTCGTACTCTCCAATTGTAACTTTTTTTTTTTTAATGAAAAATATTTTCTTTTCTGCATCGATTACTAGATTCCGTTAGTTTGATAGGCATTTGTGAATTTCGGAAAAAAATGGGGTTAATGAGCGATAGATTTTGATCGGAATATAATGTCAAATGGATAATAGTATATATCAATTTGAAGTTTGAATTGGAGTAAACTGGTTTATGGGTATCTCTTTTGGAAGCAAATATTTAATAGTTCTGAAGAAGTGTTCTTATGCTACTATATAACTGGTGATATGTTTTTGGCAAATATTTTTTAAGCCAGCGCTTTTCAGAATGTTAAGCGTTTGCTTTGTTTGTTGAATGAGCATTTTATGATGTTCAGGTGTAAAATTGCACCATAGCTGCAGAATGTGCAATTAGTTTGAGTTTTTTTTTTTTTTCAAATGAATTAACTACTACACGTTTGCTATTAAATAGTGATTTTGTTTTTCAGAGGGTAGAGATACTAGGTTAAATACTCTTCTTGGATTTATAATTTTATGCAACTAAGTAGCCAATCAGAATTATAAAATTGTTTTCTTATCTGAAAAGATTTAGACTAGGATTTTTATGCACATTGAGATTAATGAGCAAAGGAATTCTATGCTTTCAGGTTCTTGCTTGCAATCATACTACGACAAGGAAAATTGAAACTCGATTGTGTAGTTCATTGTCTAGTAATGATAAAAGTAGGACAATAGCCCCCTACCAATCTCTGAATCTAAGAAGTTGTGCACACAAGACTTTTCTCCATTCACTTTGGCAGCTGAATGGGAGATTCATATCCCAAGGGGGTTTCTTTTTGATAAAGCCTGAATTCATACCCCAACTAAGAAAATTTGCTATCGGCATCCGTAAGAAAATAAAATGTTCTGAAAGATTTAACAATCTGGTCCCTCTTTTCTCTTTCCGGATTATAGTCACAATGATGCTTGCTATGACACTTGGTGTCTCTGTTAGCAGAACTCCTTCCTGTAAGTTACTTAGTTCTAGTTTTTTTGAATTTCCTGAAGTTTCCAAAAAATTATTTCAGTAATATTTCAAATGCTAAATACTTTTTTGGTAGTTTACGGTTCGATGCCTAGTCCTTTCAATATGCAGGGGCCCTTAGTGGAGAAAATCTACTTTTCTTGGAAGCATGGAGAACGATTGACCGTGCTTATATTGATAAAACATTCAATGGACAAAGTTGGTTTAGATACAGGGAAAATGCTTTGCGCAGTGAACCGATGAACACACGAGAAGAGACATGTAAGTTATCTTGTCATGCAACTCCTGTAAGTTTCTATCTTTCAAATGTATGACTTAACATTCATGTCATCTTATGCTTTCTGTTGCTCACTAGAACTGATTTTTGTATACCAAATCAAATTCTGTCATGATCACCATTTCGTATTTCTCTAACTCTGACTTACACCTAATAATTATAGATTTACATGTTATTGACAGTCATATGCTCTATTTTAAGTTCTCATTGACGTGTTTAAAAGTTCAGTTCATAGTCTACTAGACCAGCAATATGTCCATGCCCCTGGCTGTGGCAGATGATTTAAAAGAAACAGAATAGGAAATATAAGTGGGGCCTGTTGGTCCTTCAATTTCAAGTCTTATTTCCATAAAGAAAAAAGTCCATTGATAAGGTTACTTTTCATTACACGATTTAAAAGTTCAAGTCTTATTGTCACTTTAAAATTGCTTATAAATTAATAATTTCTATCCCCTTTTTTGCCGTTAGTTGAACCTGCTCTAATGTTTAAAAATTTATCGGCTATTTCAATTCTTGTTTTATATTCAACCTCCAGATGCTGCAATAAGGAAGATGATTGCCACTCTGGATGACCCTTTCACTCGGTTCCTGGAGCCTGGAAAATTTAAGAGTCTGCGGGTATGAGGCTACTTGATCCCATCTTCCTCATTATTGTATTTGACTTCGGTGAAGTTTTCACTTGTGTATTAATTTTGAATATAGCTCTTCCTCCTTAAATCACAAACTATGGGTTTGGTCTATATTGTAAAATTTATTGATATTTTCTTTGAAGGCAGTCGGGAACACAAAATACTCTGACAGGAGTTGGGCTGTCGATCGGTTACCCTGCAAAAAATGATAAATCAATCTCTGGACTGATGGTAATTTCAGCTGCTCCAGGAGGTCCCGCATATAGGGCTGGAATTTCATCTGGGGACTTAATCCTAGCAATTGATGATACTAGTACACAAAACATGGGAATATATGATGCAGCTGATCGCTTACAGTAAGTTTTCTTTTAAATCAACGTTGCCATTAGTGTACACTTCCTGTGTATCATCTTTGATTAATAAAATATTAGATTACCTTTCAAAAAAAAAAAAAACCCGCCTATAAGTGATACTATTGCTGAATTGCAATATTAATTTGGTTAAGTTTCTCACGCCTATAAAGCTTCAACCTACAAAAAGAAAATGGCATGAGATCGAGATGTAATGAAAGTTGTGGCACAAATTGACATCTTGTCTCTCTTCGTTATAAGAGAGACAAGATGTCAATTTGCGCCACAACTTTCATTAGGTTTATGCATCATTAACCGTGTATCTCTAGTTCCTTGCTTATTAATGGCTAGACAAGCTCAATTTCATTGGAAACAAAAAGAATAAGAAGGATCACAATCTTGTGGGATATATTAGATATGCAAAGAGAAGCATTCCAAAGAACAGAAGCAGACTCAGAACTTATATGTTTGTGAGGAGAAGAGCAGGGTGCGGTTCAGGGATGGGGGCTTTTACTTGATAACTTTGAATTCGCCTGTTGATACCTATGGCAAAAGGAGAGATTTTCTTTCTTCATTAACTGGAAATTCTTGTGAAAATTCCACTTACCATATGCATGCATCTTTAAACAAAATCCTTAAAAAATGATGACAAATTTTCACAGTTGAACACTGAAGGTTATGTAAAACTACGACATGCTACAGTACAGACCATCTGCTGGATTTAAACTTTCTTTCACATTCAAAAAGATCTAATGTGTTCAATTTATTTATTTATTTATTTTTTTTATTATTATTTTTTTTTATGCTAGCAAGTTATTCAATTTAGCTGTAGTTATTTTCTAATTGCTTTCCTACCTTCTGTTGCAACTTCACTTCTAAAAAATTCAGAACGTAAAATGTGGTGATCCAGAATTAAGCATAATTATGGCTAAGTATTTATGAATAACAGAAAAAGGCTATGTTGATTTTATGAATAACAGAATAAGGCTATATTGATTGGAATTGTTGGTTATTTGACTAAATTTCTAAGTTGAATCCACAGAGGAACAGAAGGAAGTGGAGTGGAGCTAATTGTACGTCATGGGGATGAGACAAGGCATCTATCTTTGAAGTGTGTACATCATTCTCCGTTCAAATTGCTTTTTACTTTATATTTGCAAATGGTTCTCTTTGAGTTTATAAGCAATACTATATATTTTCCGTTATGCACATTTAACTTGCTCTAAATGGTTAAAAATGAATTTGTGGGTATTCTCTCTCTTAAAAGCTCTCTATGGGATGTGTCCATATAAGCTTTATGAAGATGAATATTTATATGTGAATGTTAAGATGATTTTGATTTTCCAAACTGAAATTGCTGCTCTTCAGACGAGAAAAGGTCTTACTGAATCCAGTGAAGTCGCGAATCTGCAGAGTGCCTGGACTGGGAGAGGAAGCCCCTCTAATTGGATATATCAAACTAACGGCATTCAATCAAAATGCTTCTGGTAAATTACTGCTATGTTGGATAAATTGAACTTGTGCCCATATGTGCTTGTATATTTCTTTCACAAAGTATACTCGATAACGTTAACCTGAAATCATATTTCATAAACTAGTCTTTTTTGTTCTTTTCATGAGTTTTCCAAGCATCTTCTAGTGTCATATAAGTTAGTTTCCCTTCCGGCCATTATCAAGTTCTAACTTCATGCATTGTTTAGCATCATCCCTTATGACAAGCTTGTTCATAATCTTAAAGATGTAGTGCAGTATTTATTATTGGCTTTAGTACCTATTTTCTTTTGGAATATTCTGGTAGTATTTTTCCTTAGTTGTTTGTTGTAAAAACTTTTACAGGTGCTGTAAGGGAAGCAATTGAAACATTAAGGGGTAACAATGTACATGCCTTCGTGTTGGACCTTCGGGATAATAGGTGACATGCCTTGAACACGCTTTACTTTACAATTTTCCTTTATCTGATTATTGAATTGCTAACTTTGGTGCAGTGGTGGCCTTTTCCCTGAAGGAATTGAAATTGCCAAGATTTGGTGAGTTTTCTGGCAGAAATTTGTGAATGTGCATTAAGAATAATGTGCTCCTTTTTGCATCAGATTGGTATTATTTTTTTAGAGATTTCACTATCGTAGGTATCTCACCTTTACTCATTGGTATGAAAACCTCCTCTGTTCCATTCTTGTCCTTGTATGGATCTTGGGAAGTGTTTATCAGGAATGAACCATCTGAGGATTGTCAATCATAAATTTCGTGAAGTTGCTGCTGTTGCGAGTGAATTGTTCTTGCTTCATGCATCGACATTAACAAAAATCAATATTTGCTGCCTTGTGTCCTAAGACGCGTTACAAAAAAACAAATGCAAGATCTACTTTCCATTAGAATACTGTCTTCTCTGATCTGGCTGCAGTTGCAAGTTGTATCTTCTTTGTTTTATTTTTGAGTTAAGCTAAAAGATCATCAGACACAGCTTCTAGCTTCCCCTGCAAGATTTCAGCTTCTCTACGCATTTCTTGTTTCAAAATCAGACACAAGTTGTCACTTTTTGTCTTGGTCATTCTTTGGTCTTCTAATGTGATTGTCTTTCTGAGATGAAGAATGTTGAAGCAAAATGTCTAACCACATGCAATTGCTATCAGGCTGAATAAGGGTGTGATTGTGTACATATGTGATAGCCGTGGTGTTCGAGATATATATGACACGGATGGAAGCAATGCTGTAGCAGCTTCAGAACCCCTAGCAGTGCTGGTATGATGAGTCAAGTTTTTGTCTGATCCTCGATGTTCTGTTTATATTTTATTGACAAAGCATTTGTAAACTTTTTTCATCATACAACTATTATCAGTTCTATGAAATAGAGGTCTTATTGAGCAGATGTTTATTCTTTCCCTTTCTTACATAACAATTTTCTTTTGCTTTTATTCTTATTGCATATCCCAAAAACAATTTGATTTTATGGATTCCTATCCCCCTTCTCTAAATTCTGTGTCCCATTTTACTTGGTCTTGTCTGGGAGTAAAATGATCTGTTGTCTAACATGATTATCCCATATTTCCTGAATCTTTTGTTACATTTTAAGTACCATGTTGGAGTACGTATATATCCATTGGAGGCTCGGAAAAGAAGGGCATGGGTAGGTCATGAAGTAATATTTACAAAGCCTATATATCCTGTCTTAACGAAATCATAGATCAGACCGACCTGTCTGAAAGGAAAACCGGTGAACTGGTCTGGTCCAGGTGATGTTACTGGAACGTTTTGACAAAGAAATGGTGGTCAAAATCTAGTTGAACCAGCTAAACTGGGTGGGATAATGAGAAAACACTGGTTTTTTTCCTTTTTCAAAATTTTTTTTTTTTCTTTTTTCAAATGTCATTTTTCAGTGAAATAAAGGAGAGAACCCAGGACCTCGGCCATGGAAATTTGTCATATTTTTGCTGTGCCAGTGTGAGGGATTGATAGAATCTTAAATTTATATAAAACTATACTGTGGTAGACTCTTTCCCAAGTTATATTTATTTGTTTGTTTTAACACGTTTTATTTTAAATTGGTGGTTAGTGATGACTTGCCATTGAATCGGTGACCCGTCAGTTGAATCACTGACCCGTTGACACGGTTCTATGTCCTGGTCATAGCTGGCCCTCATATGATAACTATGAAAGAAAATTGGTGATGAGATTATGTCATGTAACATCCCTCCCCTTCATAACCTTATGTTCCTGTCTTTATCAGTTAAATAAATTGACAGGCCTACTTGGACTTTGACCACTAATACTTCATTAGTCTTCACTTTTCCCAAAGTTGATCCCTTTCAGAGGTGTGCTTGAAGTTCATTTTGGTGGTATTGGTCATAGAAATCTGCTTCCGAAATTGTCTTATTTATTTAAGAAATAAAATCGACTCCTAAAATGTGTGACATCGGAAAGGTGCTAAGCATCGTTGCCCTTAAAAGACATGGTTTGGTGCATATTAGGACCCTAAATTTCCCATTTTAGATATTAAATTCTTTCACTGTCGTCACTTGGGAAGTTGCTGAATCTTTTTTTTTTCCTTATTTGCTCAAAGAACGGTCACCATTTCATAATTTATAATGTACGCTAAGGTTCACTCTAGAAAGACATGTACATAAACTATAATAATGACGACCATTTCAGTCATCCCGGTAATCTTCCACTCTTCATCTGTCCTTCAGTGCCTCGTATAGCTCTATGTATTCAACCAGGTCATCAGTTTAAATGTGTCTCTTGAATTTGGACCCACACTGTTTTGTTTGCCCCTTTTATCTATTTTTTTATCCTTTTTTTCGAATGCTTGAACTTCTAAAGATTCAACATTCTCATGCATTGGGATTGCTTTTCTCGTCATATTTTGATATGGCCTAACCCATATTCAATTTCATCCTTGTTTTTGGTTTCCCTAAACGCTGCTTCAGGTCAATAAAGGAACTGCGAGTGCTAGCGAAATTTTAGCCGGTGCTCTAAAAGATAACAAGCGCGCAGTACTATTTGGAGAACCTACATTTGGAAAAGGGTGACTTTCTTTTCCTCATATTGGATATATTCTCTAGTTACTAGGAGAATATGTAAAAAACTGTCAAATGTTTCTAATCAATGGTCAACTACTTTCTTCAGTAAAATTCAGTCAGTTTTTGAACTGTCCGATGGATCTGGCTTGGCTGTAACAGTTGCTCGCTATGAAACACCAGATCATACTGATATTGACAAGGTTCTCTCTCTCTCTCTCTCTCTCTGTGGCGGATTATGTGATGACGTGTAAGCTAATTTCTTTGTTTCATTAAGGTTGGCATATTTCCAGACCATCCCCTGCCGGTATCATTTCCCAGAGACGACGAAAGTTTCTGTGGCTGCCTTCAGGACCCTGTGTCAGCTTGCTATCTTAATAGAGTTGATTTATTCTCTAAATGACAAGGTTAATCACTCAACTATTCTTTTTCGAGGATTTCTCATTCATTTGGAAGCCCAGATAGCCGAGCTAGTCGATTTTTTATATAGTTTGAGAAGTATACAGGATCATTCAGCTAGATTCTTGTTAAGAATGAAAAATGTCGTAGCAATATCTCAATTAAGTACCCTATGCTGTCAAGCTATGTAATCTTGGTCCAATATTGTGAAATGTTCTAGACTGATTGCCTTCTCGACTCTTACGATTTTATGGGTATTTTTAACTTGTCATATAACTTGAAGTTCAGATATTTGTTTATCAAGAGATTAAATTGAAAACAATTACAAAGGAGGTAGTATTATACAGTATGAACTAAAATAAATTGAGAAGCTTAATCTCGATAAGGTTTGTTTAAGTTTTCAGTTACATCTATTTGCAAGTGAGTGCAAATTAGATTTCAAACTTGAATATTATATATTTTAGAATTTGTGGGGTTCGATCACATGTGATCTTAAACCTACAATAATCATGCTAAACAAGAAGATCAATCTCCAAAGAATATCAAAAATTATTAATTCCTATTGGTAAAAAAATGAAAAAGAAAAAAAGAATGAAGTGTTACTTATGTCAATTTCACATTGTTGTTTGGCCCATCCAAAAGCATGATCACTGATGGGCTGAGCACTTGGACAACTTTCGTACCCGGCCCATTATATCTATCTAGATCATACCAAAATAGAATGCGCCTTTCGAATCTCTCAGGAAAATTGCGAGAGCGAGCATTCTAGAGAGAACCATCCAACAATGAAGCCGCAGCCAATGGACTGTTTTTTCGACATGGAAGAGCAAAGCGCCTCCACGGTGGCGATGGATGTGGATGATGCTGAAGCCTCAGATATCTTCGGCGAGGGTCTGATCTCGATGGAGCACTACCGCCTCGCCGATTCCGACTTCTTCAACTCCTTCCAGGATGACTTCGATGACTCCGACATCAACTAATACTGCGTATTTCTCTATCATCCTTTGTCCATTCCATGATTTTAGCCGTTGATTTTCTATGTTATCAGGAGATCTTGAACGTGTATTGGAAAGAAAAAATGACGTTGTAACTGAAATTTAGTTGAATGTTCAATCTATTTCGTTCTTTCTTTTTACCATTGTTACATTGTATATGTTAACATTTTGAATTGCTGTTGTGTATAACTTGTTGGTATTTCCGTTTGATTCACCGAATTTTGGCAGGGTAATTGGGGGTTCAAATTTGTTCATGGCATGTTTGGCTTTGCTTAAAAGCAAAATAAACAGCTTAATAGGGCAGTAAAAAACATTTAAGCTAGGGCGAATGTATAAGTGGAAGAGTACCTACATACTTGTGCATGCGTTGAATTATATAGCGATTCATTGTTGTAGGTGAAAGAAAATCTGATTGTTGTGAATAGCACATTAAAGCCACTCGTCTGTCTGTCTGATCGAGGATTAGTATCCTTAGTATGTATGTTCTCCTTTGTGTTCTTATGAGTAACTTTATCGTTTATAAGCAACGATGTGTGTTAGCTGCTGAATCTTCACCTTTATGTTCTTATTAGTAACTTAATCGTTTATGGGCAAAAATGTGTGTTAGCTGCTGAATCTTCTCCTTTATGTTCTTATGAGTAAATCGTTTATGAGCAAAGATGTGTGTTAGCTGCTGAATCTTCTCCTTTATGTTCTTATCAGTAAATCGTTTATGAGCAAAGATGTGTGTTAGCTGCTGAATCTTAGGCCCTATTTGACAACCACTAAAATATGTTTTTTTATTTTTTATTTTATTTTTATTTTTTTGGGGGGTGGGATGTGGGGGGTGAGTTTTGCAATAGAGATTTGTTTAGAGAAGGTGGTTAAAAAAAGGGATTTGTGTGTATAGTATTTTATTGTAGCAATGTGCGGATAAAAATGAATTTGAGGAAAAAGGGTTATGTTTTAATGGTTGTCAAACAGGGGCTTAGCTTAGCTTAGGATTTGATGGATTGATGTGGCATATAAATGACACTGTTAAATGAAAACAAGTTTTTGAGGTTGCGAGTATAAAACATAACCCTTTTTCCTCAAATTTATTTTTATCCACTCATTGCTACAATAAAATACTATGCACGCAAATCTATTTTTTTAACTGCCTTCTCTAAACAAATCTCTATTGCAAAACTCAACCCCATCCCCCCCCCCAAAAAAAAAAAAAAAAAAAAAGAACTACATAAATGCAACCAGCAAGTTGTAAAGTTATTGAGTGAGAACACAAGTAGTTGGGGACCCCCCACGCCAGTTTTGCAATCCAACCACCCCCCCCCCCCCCCCCCCCAAAAACAAAAAATAAATATATATTAAATAAAAAATTCATTTTAGTGGTTGTCAAAAAGGGAATTAGCTTAGGATTTGATGGATTGATGTGGCATGTAAATGACACTGTTAAATGAAAATGACTTTTTGAGGTTGCGAGTATGATTAGCATTGTATCGACACAGTTTTATTGTCTTGCTGATTCCTACTCGTGCGTTCCCATTATCAATCTCACAAAGCTACCCAACATTGATTTATCGCATTCTATTTGTTGTTTTGTCTTGGAAATCATGATTCGTGATGTAAGTTTTATTGTGGAAACTTCAATCAATTCTTTTGATTACGTTAGTATTTTCCCCATATTTTAGTGAATTTTGACCGGGTGTATAATTTGGGGCTGTAGCTTGTTTAATGGCCGGCCTCGCGTGTAGGGTTGTACATGATCCAATTCGGTTTTGGGACACGAAATTTTCGAGTATTTAGTAAGTGAAATCGTCGGGTCCAAATTTAATTATGTAATCGTTGGGGTTCGATTCCATTCGGTTCCCAGATTTCATATTATAATTAAATTTTTTAATTTTTACAAAGTTACATTAATTTAATTAATGATATGTTCAATCTTAACTCTTACAAAATAATGTAATTCAATTTTATGTATCTTTTGTGTCTTTCTTTACTGAGTTCTTCATAGATTTAATTGTAAAAATCATAGGAAAAATAAGATAGTAAGCTCAAAATAATTAAGAGAGGCATTGATAAGTTTCAATTCGATTTCTCTAAAACAATAAATTCGACATTACGATAGAATAACAGATTTGAATAAAATTTAAATCAATTTGATTAAGTTGATTTTGAACTGAAAATTAGAAATAGAAAAATTATATTTTTGGATTTAAACTAAATTAACTAGTTAGCAAATTATTTTAGAAAAAATAAAATAATTTGACTTACTTAAAATAAATTAATTAAAAAAATAGGAAGATTCGATTCTTCGATGCTTGAACTAAAATTGAGAATTGAACCGAACTCATCAGTTCTCGATTTAAATACCCATTCAAATATTTAATTTAAGAAGGACCGCTTGATCCAATTCATGAATTTTGTCCAGCCCTACTCGCATGACTAGAATTGACAATGAATTTTTGGTGTTGGCTATGACTAGTTAGTGTGGAAACATTGTTTTGGTATGTTGGATTATAGACATGACATTGTTGTATGACTCGCAATGAACCAAACCAAAATGGAGTGCAAAAAAATAAAATAATTAAAAAGAACCCAACCCAGCCCAACAATTATTTCTAACTATTTCCAGCTTTGTTTATAAGTTATAGATATCCCTATTCACGAAAGTAGAAATTTGAAGCTTTTAATGTCTGGCATTATGGCATTTAAGATACACGTTTTGTTTTATTTTAATAATAATAATACTTGTGTGAGAGGAAAATGCTGTAAATAATTTGAAGGTAAGGTCCAAGCATGTTACAGATCCAACATTGAACATAAAACTCAAAACGTAACACGCTTCTCATTTCCTACCTGAAGAAACCCAGTATGTGCATTTACAACAAGGCCATAGATGAAAAGAGTAGGCCAGAAACATTAGTTCTTCTAATCATAACAAATAAAAAGGGCTTGAATTGCAGCATTTCGCTCGATTATCAATTCGACGGTTAGTCAGAAACACAAGAAATTTGATCCACCTGAAACCCCTCTACAAAGTTAGCACAGAAAAATAGCAGAGTAGATATCTGTACAAAACCCACAGAGAGATACATAATATACATAAACAGTTTGATGCATAACTTTCCACATGCAGGAGCCTTTTCTCTAGCATTGGACACTTTATGGTTCATAAATTCAACTTCATCGAAACATTCTCTTAAATGTTATGCAACACCATATCCTGGAAAAATAGCAAAGACATCATATTATCAAAATCACGAGTAAAATGCCATACAGTGAAGTGATTTTCAACTAAACAAATGCAACCATTGAAATGCAATAAGAGTCTACATTATCATGGAAAGTTGGAAACTTGTAATCTAGATGAATCTTCAATCTCTTTTTAGAACAAAATTCTCCATCATCGTGGAAAGTTATGTAACTACACAAATACCAGATGAAAATCTCTCTTCCTAGACAAGTTTGATGCAGAAGAAGTTCGCACCAGATTCATTGCTATAGCCCAATGAATGTCATCTGGTGGATCCATTGATGTAGACGAAAGAATAAAATTACTTTTAGATCATATCAATTTCTCAGCAAGCATAACTTCTTCATTTGGATGTTCCCTTGTTTTAAAATATGAAACTCCTTAATAACATAAATTTTACATTCTAAAACACACAAACACAGTGAGGGTGGAGTGGGGGGAGAGTAAAAGAAAAAATACATTAACATACAAAGAGAGGCATGCATCTGAAGAGGCTTTTCTGTCAGTAAGGCATCAGATAACACCACTCCAGATTTGACAAATTAAGAATATCTATATAATCAATACATAGATTCCTTATAACATTACAAATAATCAAATGGATCGTTGACCTTCAAACAGCGACAAACAAACCTTAAAATGGTTAGGAAATTGATTAGTCCAGATATAAATACTCAAAGAAAGCATGGATACTAACCATAGAAAAGTGGTGACACACTTCATAGTTGCCCTTGATCAGCAGTAATCAGCCTTCTAATGCATATGAAGGTACCTTCAATAAGTGAACCAATTGCTTGTAAGCAATCATACAACATAAACTAACAGCAATCATAATCAAAAGCAGTCAGTCAGTGACTAGATCATGCACATATATAGAGACCAGCTTCAAATACCATATGGTGTATGCCAAAACAAGCTTGCAGTGAGGGATAACCACAGCCCCTGTTTGAGCCCCATTCTTCGAAAAAAATGCATTATTAAACAGTAATTTGACATCGTTTCAACTACACATTTTTTAATAAAATAATATTACACGCAAATCCAAAACTTTTCCTTATTTTTTAAGACACATTTCTCATCAATACACTATTCAAAAATTCATTCTTATGAAAAGAATGGGGCTCAAACAAGGGCTGTATCCAGATGAACTAACAACTATTGGACATTGATGCAACTAGATGCATAACATCAACAAGGGTATATAAGGCTTCCAACGTGAACAAGGTTAAAATCTCTTTAGCATGTTTATTGTCAAACGCCACTCTAAAGTAGATTAATAAACAACAAGTACCTCGACTCTAAACCATTTTGCCACTGTGAATTAGTCTCAGATGTACACATTGATCAAAGAAACATTATCATTTTCACAGAGTTTTCCATCAGATGGAATCGAAAATAAAACCAGAGAAGTTTATTGCATAACATAGAAGATCTCCAGCAACCACATCTAGCATTGCTTTTCGTGATAAAAAAAAAAAAAAATCATGGTAGCATTCATTGAACGAATTAGAGGCCATCATCCATCACATGATATAAGGAAGAAATCTCTTGACCCAATCTCACTGCTTTTTGTAGGATGAGATCCATTTAGGCTCATCAGTTAACTAAACTAGTATAGCTACCCTTCCTCCATCCTCTCCATAAGCATATGGTGAGAACCAAGAGGGAAGACAAGGAGTTTATAGGAGGTTAGTTAAAAAAGCATATAAACAATAAGGTCTTGAACCAAGGGAAGAGCTATTTGATTAGCTGCCTGCAATTATCAGGCATGTATATATTGTCAAACTGTGCTGATCCATGCAAAGGCCTACTCGGTTGACATATTCATGAACCTCTTGCAATTAAAAAGATTTCAGGTAACTCATCATTGAAGTAATTTCCACAGAGACATGTTCATTAAATATAGCACGTATCGAAGATAGGGAGTGAATGAACAGTATAAGTAAAGCTTCTGTACCTCATACATGTTCTCATTAGGAAAAATGGATCTATCGTGATTCAAGCTGTGAGAATCATCGTGCTGAAGAATTCTCAGCTTTCCTTCCTACAATATTAAGAGAGGAATCATCATCAGAGGAATAACTTGAGTACAAGATCTGACTGATTTTTTTCAAAAAAAATAAAAATAAATAAATCTAGTTTCGTTGTTTACTTTTGTTCCATATACAAGGCCACCACCAACTAAAGGATGGAAACTAGCTACATTGACCTCGTCCTCCGCGCTGGGTAGAACTCGTACAAGTTCCATATTAGAAACTTTGTAGATCTGTGCAACAAAAGGAGATTCTGAGAGGGGTAGTGAGTCTAGTGACCAATGTGCATAGGTCATAATAGCATCAGACAATAGTTATGCAGTTTATGCTAGTTCTCTGTGAACTTAATAACGCCTCCTTACACAGAAGGATTGCAAAACTTGCAAAATATAGTTTTTCAAAGAGCTCTTGAAGCCAAGCTTCTAAAAGGCACGAGGCTTAGAAAGGCGATAAAGTCGAGCCTCAAGCCTTGCGATTATGAACCTAGGTGTAATAAGATGTTTCCCCATTTTTGGCCGCTATTTGGTAGGAATTAAATTCAGATTTTAATAAATTTTGACAAAAGTTGATGAAATATATGGTTGAAAAATTGTGGATCCCATGAAATATGTTATTAAAATTAATTGATAACTTTGACTTATATTAAAATCTAGATTTTAATCCCTACCATAACAGCGGCTTAATATTATTTTAATTATTCTAAGACCATTTCTACCAATTCGTTTTATTTAAATAGAAAACTTTAAAAAATAAAAAAATAATAATAATAAATAATGGAACAAAAAAATAGATGTGTACATAGGTCCGCATTATTTTTGGGGGGGGGGGGGGGGGGGAATCGCCTTTTCCACACCTTCCCATGTGCTAGGTTTTTTTCTCGCGCCCAGGCTGGCCTAGGACCTGCCTCTTAGAATACTGATTGAAGCAGGTGACAAGGCTAGTGAAATATTCTTGCACCCAGAATCTCCTAAAATCACACAACAATGACAATAAAATGGCACAAGAACATGCACAAACTTTTTAGTATTAAATGCCCATCCCCCTCACAAATTTTAGATATCCACGTATCTTTTCCTCTTCTAAGATCACAAGATTTTTCTATTTCAGCAGTCTGCTATAATAGGAAAAGCAACCAAATGAAGGATCTTTTCTCAGTGACTAAATTTAGAATCCAAGTGAATCACACAACAAGCACAAAGGTTCACTAGACCATTCTAAATTCAATGTCTCACCTCCAGAATTGTGTATATGGGAACCGTTGTATCTCCATCAATCACCACACTTTTAAGAAGTGATATATGGCGCCGCCCATAGGCAAGTAACAAATGCTCTGAGGTAGGAGAGAACTGCAATTGAAAATGATGCACAAATGCTTTATAAGGTCAATAATACATATCCAAAGTCCCGAATCACCATACAGAACTGTATAGATGAATATGAAATCTGAGCAATTAAGTACAATGATATACCAAGAAATTATATTCACCTTCAGTCTTCAGATAAATCACTAAATCTAAGTTCATCTTCCTACTTAACTGATTGAGGTTTTTAATATTAGACTAAGCATCAATTGCACGTGCAACATGCACGTAATGGAAACAAAATTGTCACAAAAATATATAGCCCTATTATTTCAAATTTTAATGGGTGGAATAGTAAATTTTTGGAGAATGGGTGCTTGAGAAATAAGAAAATGTTTTCAATTTACGTTTAATATTATTTTATGGAAAATTGTGGTTGAAAATAGGAGAGAGAAAAATAAATTTTAATTTAATGGGGACCAAACGGGGGCATAAGGTATAAATTGAAAAAATTATTGGCTATATAAGAACACTCCAGCTAGAATGTTATCTTGCTATCTCCAAACAATATCCCTCTTATCATCATTTCAGCAACCTCCCAAGCCTCTACAAGTACATTTCAATGATAACACAACAGGTATGCATCCAAATAAAGCAGAAGATAGAATACAGATAAGGGTTCTTATCCACCAAGTGACGGCCTAAACAATATATTACTAAGTTTTGGTTCTTGACAACTTCCGCCGAAGAGAGCTTTTCCTTGTTTCAAGCTTTTTGAAGTTACAAAAGCATGGTTAAAAGAATGTCTAATTAGATGGCTCCGTGACATAAAAAATGACGACCAGATCCAGATGCAGTTCTTGTCTCAAAGAGAAGAAATTAAAAATACAGAAGAAAGCCAGCCACATAGGAGTCCAAAATCAAAGAACAAAGATAAGGGCACTTATCCACTAAAGATGGGCTAAACAATTTATTAAGATGTATTTGTTGATGACTTCTGCCCACGTAAATTATCCCTTATTTGAAGTTTCAAAAGTTACAAAGCATGGTCGCCAGAATATCCCATTAGATGCTGATGTGAATGTAAATAGTGCAACCGCTTCCCAGTTCCTTCCATGCATTCTCATCTCAGAGAATATAGCTTCTTGTGTATATGATACTGGGTTCTATTTAAGCACGTGCTTGTAAAAGGTAAACAACATATCCGTATGTTCTATCTACAAGATGACTGTGTATCTCTAGTTAGAATCATTATGGTTTCATGCATCAGCATCACTGACTCTCTAATCAATTTGGTATTTTCCTGTTTATGATTTCTATAGGACTACTTCTAGTTTTTTTTATCAATAGAAGACTTCCTAAGGAGGAGATATAGTTCCTTAACAACATCGTTTACAACTTCAGATAGTTCCCACACTAATGTCTTTTGAACAGGATGGTATATATCTCTATAATAGAGCATCCTCTGCAAAAAGTGAAGAAAGTGGTAGAGGGACCAGAAGATTATTAAAATGGATACAACATGCCACTAGAAGTTTAAAGAAATGAAAATCAAATAATATACTGCAAAAGAAGATGGCACTAAAAACTTTCAGAAAATGTGCAGTTAAAGCAGGGCACTTCTTCACACAGAGAATGAAATCTATATAGAATTACTGTTGCGCCACTTTCAAGCCACATCTGATCAGGAAATGTGTTCAATATGCATTGCATTTTTATTATCGTCAACAACATGATGCTGGATTAAATGAAAACCACATTTCCTTTTCTTATAAATGAATATTTCATGAAATGGGTACTTATAATTTTTTCCAGATAAATAAAATGCCATTTACTTAATAATAGAACTAACCTGTATTGAAGTCAAACAATGAGCAGCTCTGATAGCCCGTGAGGCTAGAACTGAACCAAATCTACATGAGCAAAGCGTCATCTTTATAAAGGATATATATCATCAAAATAAGATCAACATGGAATATAATGGGCAAGATGCAGGAACTTTGGACTTACGTTGCCTCCTCAAGTGAATATACTCTTAGCTCATACATAACTTGATGGGCTGAAATGGGATGTCTTGTTGGAGATGTTGAAGCCCCTCTAACATCATGCTGAACCTGGCCTTCAAATCCTGAATCAGCTTCCGCGTTTGGCTGGATACATGCAACACATACTGCTAAGAATCTTCCACATGGTGAAAAGTGGGCACCCATTTCGCTGCAAAAAATATATAATATCATCAACACATACAAATTACTATCAGAAAATAAATGTTCCAGCTCATTTTGCTAAAACTCACTCACCTACAAAGTACAGCATGAGGAATAGTTAAACGGCACTTTTCTGTTTCAAGATGTGCGCTAGGATTTTCCATAGTATGAGACCATATTCTAAGTTTCACAGTACAAGGTAACTCAGCAGCTGCAGCTGCAGCTAGTGACGTGGCTACCTCGGACTGGACTTGGCTCATGAAAGGTTGTGAACTGCTCTGCTCCTGAGGGAAACTGTTAAAAGCAGCAGCATCACCAGATCCACTTGCTGGTATTGTGCGGGTGCGCGAAGGACGGTGACGTGAACCAGATCTTCCGCCAACCCTTGAACTACCAACACTATTTACAATTGCCGGTGGAACCATTGAAGTTTGACTCCCTGTTTCTCCATAAGAAGAAATAGCATCAGTAGCACCTCCATTTCGTGAATGCATTGACCATTGACCAGCTTGTCTTTGACCAATTAACCACCCTTGCAAGAATGGGAGTTCCCAATAAGCTGGGTCACCAAATGGAAAAAGTTGATTGTTTATCTCATAAGGGTGAACATCTGTATCCATTGCATCCACTGCGGGCTGAGAAACAGCAATTTCCATTTCCGTCGTTAAAGAATTAGTTTGTGATCCTTCTCGCAGAGGAGAGCTACTAGATTCAATCGGAGACAATACTAGTTCATACTGTCCAGATGGAGTTGAATACGTGAGAAGCCGCATGGAGGAAGAAGAATCGACACTCTGTTGTGAAGCACCAGAGCTCATGACCGCACCAATATGCTGAGAAGGTAACCTCGCATCAACTCGGCCAATTGGAGGCCAAATCAAAAATGGTATAGACATAGTGGGCAGCTCATTTCCTGAATTAGATCGATGAGCTGTGTGAGCATCTGCCAAATATATCGTAGGAGGAGGGTAGTGCAAGTAGCCAGGAGAAGTTGCAAGCATCATTGAGGGGTCCGATGAGTCGAGATCATTGACCTGTATAGATCGACACTGTAATTTGCACCGAGAGAAAGAAACTTGACAGCATGCAAAATAATACCTCAGCAGTTAGAAGAAATGGCGCAGCATGTGGATGGAAGTGCACAGCCCTGAGTGAACGGCGAGTCTTAAGTATAATTGTTGGTGAAGAAGCCTCCCCTCTCCTGTTGTAGTGCCATATGAATAGCTGAAACGTGCTAAAATGTCAACAACAATGTAGCCATGCAAAACTAAACTCTTCAATGATATGTCCAAATTTCTAACCTTGTGGCCTGAAGCCACAGCCAAAATTTCTCCTTCCGCGTGGAAGGCAATAGAAGCTATAGGGCGGTCTGCACGAAGGAAAATCAAGAGCCTTATTAACAGAATCTAAAATATTAATATAGATATAAAACATTTCTGAAACTTTGAATGTCAAAGGTAATTACAGAAGTCGCGAGATCCTATACACTCAGCAGTGTTTGCATCCCACAACCGAACTTCATGGTCTAAACTTCCACTTGCAAGAATTTCAGGATGAAGTGGATGGAACCTAACCTGCAGAGCCCATAGCCGTGGCAGAAAACAAAGAAACAATGACACATCAAATAAATTGGTGAAATTTAAGCTAAACAAAACGATGCAACCAAGCAATTATCTGTTACGTGAAAAATCTATTGTCAGAGGCAGATCAAAATAGAGGTCTAACACTTTGTAACACGTTATCAATAGAACATTAAGGTACATACTCTACAGAATAGAAGATTGAATAAATTTCTATATCATTAGTCAGAAGTGATAAGAATTTTATAAGAATTTATTCACATAGTTGTATATGCTACCCTCTTGTTTCTCTTCTTCTCTAACTTCCCATTTATTTACCTCTATGGGGTTAAGAGTCAAATTGATCTCCCAAGAAGAGCTACCAAATCATCCCTTCATGGTAGTAGTATCATAGACAAACTGATGAAATCAATATGTAAAGTTTCAGAAGAGAGCCTACCACCCAAGGTGTCCTCCGATGACCACTCAACACCTTTAAGCATTTCCCAGTTTGGCAGTCGATTATTTTTACAGTATGATCTCCACTGCAAACATAGAATATAATAAATTTTTTGCAAAAACTAAATCAAAAGAACTCGGTATGATTTTAAAATAAAAAAATTAGTACGTGTGTATGCATGAGAGGGGGGGCGGGGGGAGGGGGGGAGGGAAGGATAATTACTGAGTAGAAGCAAGTGTTTTCCCATCAGGACTAAAAGCTGCTGCTATGGTTGACCTGGGTGGAGGTAACAGTGAACAATACTTGGCTGATAAATGTAGCAATGACTGTGCCTCTACCCTGGAGTATTTAGAGTAAAAGATTTCAAGAAATTAACAAGTTTACAAGGACGTGAAACATCATTAAGATATTACGAAATAGTGCAGAAGACATGACAGATACCATGAAAGAAGTTCTTGTCTTGCATCTTTCCCTGCTTCACGTTTTAATCCAGAGGATTCAAGCTGACATCTTGAAGTGTCTCCCCAGAAGCATCTGGGGGATCGCTTTGTACGTGGAGACACCTCCCTCAAAGCTAACAGTTGAAATACATTACTACAAGTGGCACATAGCATATTATATCCAATTAGCAACCATTCACGCCCAAAAAAAAAAAAAAAAAAAAAAAAAAAAAAAAAAAAAAAAACATAAAATTTTTTTACTTTTTTTGGCAATTGCGTTTGAACTAAACAAAAGATCCAAAATTCAGCTAAGAAAAGAATAAAATCCTTCAAAAGTAATCAAATTCCAGATCTTTGTATTCTGAAAGCAACGAGATTTCGGTGAAATTAGATTTAAAAAAATAACCTTCGCTCAGAATTCGTGTGGGGAGTGGGTCCCGCAGGAGGAAGGATCGACTGGGAACTGGACGTCGATGGGGGAGCGGCGATGGAATTCTCCGGCCAAATCGATGATGACCTCATTATTAATAATGATTCACAATTCAAACTATAATTCTCAACAAGAAAATTCTGCAGCCAGGAAACACGTTTCCGGCATTTCTGAATTTATAAAAACTGTGAAATTTAGGGGGTTAACATCGATTTGGCTGACTTGTTCACGAATGTTTCCCCATGGATTCTTGCCAAATTATGAAGCCGGCGGTGATCTGAAAGTGAGGGGAAGGATGGGCCGGAGAAAGACGGAGGAGCGGGGACGAGGGCGGCGGAGAAATGAGGGAATTATGGCTTTTCCCGGCATCCGACGTTGATATATTTTGATGTTACAAGGGGCGGATAATTTGACGAGTTGATTCACAAATGGTCACTAAAGTTCAATTAAAACTCGAAATTGGTCCTTAAATTATTTTTATGGATCATTTGGTTAGTAAGTTAAAATATTGGCTGAGGGTAATTCATAGAAATACATATACTCAAAATGAAATATGATTCTTAAGAGATATAACCTCGAATTTAAACAAAATATTCCTTTTAATTTTGACCCAATTTTCATTATCAAGCCCCTAATTGACAACCATTATTTTCAAACTATTTTTTTTACATACTCATTTATAACCACACGTCTACGAAATAATATTTCTACACATAAATTCAAAATTTTTCTTTTTTTTTAATTAAACATTCTCCTAAAAATCAGTATTCAAAACTTTATTTTTCCAAAATTATGATTGTCAAACAAATCCTAACTAATATAAGTCTGGCTAAAGTAGGGGTCAGTTGAAGAAATCGATGAATTTGATGTTCGTTAGTCAAAATAAGGTTTAACATCTACCGTGCTGGATATAGTGATAATCCGACGACCAAATATGTAAGTGTTGGTGATTAACTAGGTCAAGAAAGATACTTTGATGATCAATTTTAAGTTTTTCTTGAACTTCAGTACCATTTGTGAAATTAACTCATAATTCAATCAAATAAAAGGAGCGTGTGTCTCACGCTCTGGTTATGTGGCTGAGTGCTCACTGAAATAATCTAGGTTTCAAGTCCATCTTGCATGTTGGAATTTTTTATTTTGAATTTGAATTTGCTTTAAAAATGGGAGTTATTGAAATTTTTACATGTGAATTTGATTTTGAATAGATCGTATTGCTAACAGGAGATATATAGCAACGACAACTGATAAGATAAATGTGCTAAATCAAATTGAACAAATTTATAAATAATTTATATAAATTATTTTCTATATGGAGGGCAATTTCTTTACTCAATCCCGACGCCTATGGAGTGCGTCCTTCTTTGTTAGCCAATTTGAAATTTGTCCCTTAACAACCACAATTTTGTAGCTTCTATTTTGACATAATAATACATGAACAAATTTTAAATGGACTCGTCTTGCTAGCTATACGAACTTAAGGGCATTGTTACATAACAATTCAGTGCAATAACATTTTAAACATAAATTTGGGATGACGATGTAACATTAAATTATAACAATCGCGCTACATGAACAATGTATTTGACATGGTCCATGACAGGATGATGTGACAAGTTAAAAAATTTTGAAAACTGAACTGGAAAACCAAAAAGAAAAACAAACGGGTAATATATTCAAAATCGGCCCATTTATGACGTTAAACTAACCGACACCAAACTTGTCTTTCCAAAATTCACACGCCGTTCACCGGTGCATTGCTCTTGTGGAACTTTTGTTCATTAACCAATCAGTTGCAAATTTATATCCATCTCCGATGACGTCTTGTGAGGCGAAAGCTGCAGCTAAGTTTGGGTAAGTTTTCTGTTTTGGTAACTTGGGTGCGTTAATGGGGTTTAGAAGGCTTTGATAACCCCGACTTTGATATGCTACTTCAACTTTCGCAATGAACAATTTATATCCAGAATAAGCTGTCGAAGAAGTGAGATATCTTGTTCACATAAATGAGGTGTTATCAGCAAGTACCTTATCCTGGTTTAAGGCAGGAATTGATAGGAGTAGAGTTGAATATCTATTCATCGTAAATTGACTGTGTACATGGAAGATATCTTTATAATGCTTGAATTTGAAATGATGGAAAAAGAAAAAAAAAGTTTAGAAGCACAATTTCTCGTGTTCTGACCATTTGTAGCATAGCTATTTATGTTCTAGTGAAAAAAAAAATTGAAATGCTTCAAAAAAAAAAATCTTTGATTTTATAGCGAAAATCATACAACATGTTTAATCTTGCTAAGAAAATTCATTGTGAGAATATTTGTAACATTTTGTCACACCTATCAAGCTATTACTTCGCATATCTTAGTGCACTGTATTAATTTAGATTAATGTGGTTGGTTTACATCTCAGAATGACAGGAAAGAATCATGGAGTGTGTCATAGCAATAGGTGAAGGGGCACATCTTTGCAGATTGCCCGAAGAAACGCTTATGCCAGCGGTGTAAACATGTGTTTGTAAAGTGTTTTGAGATGGAGAAGGAGTCTTCAAACAAAGAAAAGTTGTTCAATGGCTGCGGTGGCAAATGCGGTTTTTGGGAATGGGTTGGAGAAGGTGAATACAACTGTGAATTAAGTATAGATAGTGCGACGTCAACTAATGCTGCAATGAACGAATCAGTTGCAGATGTTACCGGCATGTTCGAATCCAGTCTTTGCTTAAACAATGAGCAAGAGTTTAAACTTTCTGTCAAGGTGACAATCTGCAAGAATAAAGCAACTGCGGAAGTCGATAACAAAGGGGAAGGCCCAGGCTTAAGTATTATGGATTTGCGGTAATTGTTATGTAACTTTCGAAGATAGTGCACTTGTATAGTGCTAACTATGTGGGATTATAAAAATATTGTCAATGTCTGTTGAAGATACTGTACTAGAATACTCATAACTATGTGGGAATGTAAAAATATTGTCAATAGCTTGATAGCGGTTCACACGAACTGCTAATTGAAGGTACAGAATTTGCTATGCTTGAAGGAGTGCATTATAGCCCTTGATGTTGTTGCCAAGCAATAGAATTTCAATTCTTATTGTTTGGGTTTGTTAAATGATTTGGATTCTGTTTAATCTCATGTAAATGAATTGAGTTCTTATTTACAAGATGATACCTATTGACAACATATATAGCAAAAATCAGCATCAAGTGGGCACCTTAAGAGTCTATACATCACAGTTGAATATCAAATATCAACCACCAGAATAATTAATGCAGAACAAATATATATCTCCAAATCAACTGTTTGAAAATGAAATCCAACATAAGTGAATCAAACATGATAAGACGAACTACGAATTTAAATTCATGATCTTGTTACATATGTGTCTCGAAACATAAGATATTTTAAGTTCGGACTACGTGCATTTGATTTGAAATTCGAAGCCAATCTATAGTTGAAGTAAGTTTTGTCCCATTTCGTGTTGAATATTTCAACTATTTCCTGTAAGCAAAGAAAGTTACGAATACATCAAGCTATAGAACAAAACTTTTTGTCAAACATCACAACTATTTCCATATAGAACAAACATATACCAGATTCGTATGTCAATCCTGTTGTCATTAATTATCAGATGTTTGTGCTGTCCTGGTATGGTAGAAGTTGATAGAAATTCAACAACATATTTAACACTGTCAAATATGAAGGTTACTAAGCAAACAAGAATAAATTCACCAATGTCAAATACATCAATTAAATCATTACCTTTCCTTGAGTAATGACTGTAACATTTGTTGATGATGGTTGGATGAAGATTGGATGCTATACTGGTTGTGTAAATGTATGACATCCTTTGTGCACATGCGCGATATTAGAATCTGTTGACACATAAAAATTCAGCTCAAATCGAACAGCCCAAGGAGTGAAGCCCAATTGGAGGATCCCCAAATCAGATAGCCCAAAGAACGAAACCCAATCGAACAAATCAAGATGAAGGCCTAAATAAGGAGGCCCAAGAACGCGGTAACGTCATCGCCCAAGTTTGCAAGTCGCCCAGAATCTGAGCGAATGGAGTGTCATACAGTCGCCCAGAACTGTTACTCTATTCTCGTCCAAACCTTCAAGTCGCCCAAGGTCTTAACAAACATAATGCGTCGTGGTTATCAAGAAGTGCAGTTATCAAAACAGTTATTGAAGCAGCCCTATCACGTTCCACGATTCAAGGAACTCAATCGAAAGCGGTTGAACGATGAAGAGTAATGACAGCAGTTAAAAAAGACAGTTTTCATGACAAACTGGCCATTACGAAGAAAGTGGGCAGTTATAGGATAATCAAGCTGTTTTTATAGCAGTTGATCACAAAGAGATCGTCCATAAAGTATAAAAGGAAGAAAGGACATAGAAGCAAAGGACCGAATCCAAAACTCTCGAACAGAGAACATATAATTTTCATTTCCTTAGTTTTTAGATTTAAACACTTTCCTTTCAGTAACTCGTGTGCTTGCGCCCCTTGGAGGCACGTTGTTTTTCATTTCCAATTGTAAAGTCATCGCCAATAAAAGAATACCCCTTTTTGGGACTTTGTCTCAAAATGTTTGTCCCTTACACAATCGTCTGATCCTTTTTAATTGTTAACAACTAACCCGCGCGAAATAATTTTGCACGCCCAGTGGGACAGTGGTGTTAGGTGTTGAAAGTACAAAAGGGGAAACAATATGCCTCAGAGATCCGATAAGGAAGCAGCAAGTCAGGGAGGAATCCAGTCTGTGATCGAGCGATATGAGGAGCAGCATGCCTCTCCACGGACAGATGGACAGAATCAGAGCAGTAACAGTCGGTACGAACCAATGACGGAGTTGAGTCCTCGAACCATGCGTGTATTACTTGGAGAACTCACACAAGACGTCGTTAAACAGGTAAATCTTCGAAGTATTCATAATATGGAAAGATTTACACAAAATGGGAATGTACACTATGACAACATGGCCAAACAACTAAAGACGTTGAACGAAACAATGAATAAGTTAGTAGGCCAAATATGTCAACCGGCTATACCTCTTACAAATCACTTTCAAACTAGGACGATCGTGGGACATAATCCCTCAGTCCTAAATCCGAATCAAGGGGTAGAACCGCTTTCTGGTCCCTCTACTTCAAACCAAGGGGGTACTACAGTGCCAAATCAAAGCAATGGTAGTGGTATGCCTAACTTGGGGGGTAATCTAAACGTGAGAGATAATGTCCTAAACAATGGACAGAATATTCCACGTGGTAATGAGGGAATAGATGTTCAGGCTAATGGTAATGGCCCTAATCATGGTAATTTTGTTGCCAATCAAGGACCAAACATCAGGCCTCAT